TTTTACCTAACACCAGAATTCAGTCATTTGGGGGCAAGAATGGTTTACCTTTTGGATTATTTAAGGACTTTATAGTAAAAATGGCAAAGGACAGTAAAAATTAATCATAACATAATTATCAGTTAAAAGAGAAATCCAAAATATAGATTAGCATTGAGCTATGAAGAAGAGTTGTTTAACATGTTCACTGTTAACCTTCGATTTAACCAGAGTATTTCGAGTTATCTGTTACACATGAACAAAGACAGCTTGTTCTTCTCCACTAAGGTCATGTTGATTCGTCAGCTTGATTTAGAGAAATTCTAACATCACAGACAATCTCAACAGTCGACAGTTATCACAAAAGAAAATTGCTAGAAAACCAGTAGCTTTTTCCTTTCCTTGTCAGCAGATGGTGACAACAAAACTTACATATCAAAGTGTAAAATGTTGTTACTTCAGGTAGACGTGACAGGTTTGTGCATGCAAAGGAGAGACTGTACATAAATGATGGACATAGCCACTTAGGGATACAATCTGGGGGTAGTTATCACAAGTGCCTAAACACTGGTGAAACTATTTATATTTAGAAGCAAACTTGAGCTTCAGCTTGGGCTTGGTTTTTTACCCTCATAGGTTGACACTATGATTGGAACTTGTCCGAATTATCAAGAAGTATGCTTTTGGGAAAACTGGAGCCTGTGAAACTCCATGGATGAGCCTTTCAAGAGCCAAAAGTTTAGCAAGAGGAAAGAGGAAAACGGAGAGTTTGTTAAAAACAAAACAAAACACATTATAGTAAAAAAAACAAAGAAATCTTTATGTGATGATCCTTTACTTGATTCCCGAGTTGATGCTTTGCTGATCAGTGAGAAAGCTACCAATGAGAAAGCTTCGCGAACTTCATCTCAGGGAACCTTTCTCTCCCACAGTGGGAGTCATTACACAGCAAAGCTGTGGAAACTCACAGTGGGATAACTGAGACGTCTCCTAAATGGCATGAAGAATGACGACATGGATAAAAGCACAGCTACATTTAGACCTTTAGTCATGATACAATCATTTAGACATGACACAACAGACCTGCAGTCCATTATCTAGTGCGACACACTTACATTAAAACTGTGAAGACCAACTAAATAGGAATCAAAGGTGTAACATACTTATTTACTTACTTCTAAAAGCTGAATTGTGATTATATCAGAAATTGTGTTAATAAACTATAATAGGCAAACTATACAACTGAACAAGATGCATTCATTTGTGGTTGTGGAGTGACGTTACGAGTCTGTGAGCCATTAGCACTGCTATTTTGACTTTTTCTTGTAAAAAAAAGAAGAAAAAGAAAAAAAAATCATATCATCTTAGGTTTTTCCACTAATCAGCTCTTTATGTAGCACCCAGTCCAAATCTTATTGATTCCTTCTGAAAACATACATTCATGGTAAAAAACAAAGCTAAACAAAACCAAAGTACACCACACACATCTGTCAATGCCAAGGTTTTATGTATCTGAACATAATAAAAAAATCATCTTGAACTTGCCAGTTTCTAAAACTATTTACACGCAACCCCTGATAAGCAACAGCACATCACATTTTGCATTGTAACATTGGTTATTTAACAAAAGCTAAACCAAACTGCAGAATTACGGAGCCCCAACCTGTACCTCATACTGCAGCAATAACCTGAAGTAACTGTCATCTTGTTGTTTATGAATCTCTTGCGTTGTTGTGGAAAAATTTTGGGCCACTCTTCTTGACAATAGTGCTCATGAACATTGAGGTTTCCAAGTATTCATTCATAACTGAGAACCCAGAGTGACGCCTTAATTACTTCTTCATCTGCTAATGAAGGTGGTGACGAGCAGTACAGCTTGCAGCATTGTAGCCTTCATTTTTAACTGTATGTTCCTAGAATGGCTTTAAAGGCTCTTTGAACGGGTTTTAAAATGTTCTTTTTGTTATCGGGTTTGTGTAGGTAAACACTAAAACAAAGATCTTGTATGTTCTCATTAGGATTTGTGTCAGTGGGCGGGACTATAACCTCAGCTTTATTTTGTTAACTGGAAATTATGTGAGAATGTATTTCAGGCTGTGTTACAGAGTAATGTAAAACTAATGCAACGAGTAGAGTAATAAATTATTTTCTCAGGCAGTTAATGAAGTAACATGCTAGATTGCATTTAAGAATAATAACAAGGAATCTGTAGTAAATTACTTTTTTGGAGTAAAAATTCAACACTACTTTTGTGTTTTCATTTCATTTGCATTTACCACGTGGTGAGACCTGTTAAAGACAAGATTTATTACTTTATGCCCTAATTTTGCAAAACCTTAGAGCTGAAAGAAGATGTTTTTTGTTTGTTTGTTTGTTTGTTTGTTTACACAAGTGTAACTGAAAACCCTGATTTAGCTTTACAGCATGATAAGAAACATACCAATCAGGTTTATTGTCAAGAAAGATTTGAGATCAAGTTGACATTGTTTAATATTATTTTTGTTTCCAAACTAACTTTAGTTTCGAGCAATTATTTTATACTATTACTAAACCAAATTTTTCTTTATTTTCTTTCTAAAAACAAAAAAGTATCATCCACTAAGATAAAGGGAGACAAACACATCTGACAATCACGTGTTCTTCTGTTACAGCTTCTCGAATGCAAATTCTTTTGAAAGGGCAGCATTTAGTATTGCAATCTTGTTGCAAACACCTTCCTCTCCTCTCTACAGGTGGTTTTAGCTTTTCTTTTCAAGCCTGTGTCATCTTCAGTGTTGCCTCAAGTGAGTGGAAAGACACATCATCACCCTTTTTTGCTATGACTAGACTGCTTTAAGCTGATAGGATGGCAGCAGTAACTCAAATAACCCCTCATCACAACCTTGTTACAGCCAACCTTGAACCTTGAAGTAGATACAGAAACAGAACACAACACTGGGTAAAGTAATTAAGTAAAGTATGTAAAGTATGTAAATGACAATCTGACAAAGAACAAAGGGAGACAGTGACTATAAACGCACAGAGGGGTGATAGGGGCAGAATGGAGACACCTGGGAGACAATGCAGAACTAAATCCGAAAATATGACATGGGGAATTATAAACTAAGACATGGGAACAGAGACAGATGACTATCAAAATAAAGAAAATGGCAAGACAGAAAAAGCTAAGAGAAGACCGAAAAAGCTGAGAATATTAACATAAAGAAACCAACCACAAATAACTGCTGAAAGTAAAATTCAATTCAATTTTATTTATATAGCGCCAAATCACAACAAAAGTCACCTCAAGGCGCCTCATAGATACAGAGAAAAGCCCAACAATCATATGACCCCCTATGAGCAAGCACTTTGGCGACAGTGGGAAGGAAAAACTCCCTTTTAACAGGAAGAAACCTCCGGCAGAACCAGGCTCAGGGAGGGGCGGGGCCAGGGGAGACAGGATAGAAGACCTGCTGTGGAAGAGAGACAGAGGTTAATAACAGATATGATTCAATGCAGAGAGGTCTATTAACACATAGTGAGTGAGAAAGGTGACTGGAAAGGAAAAACTCAATGCATCATGGGAATCCCCCGGCAACCTACGTCTATTGCAGCATAACTAAGGGAGGATTCAGGGTCACCTGATCCAGCCCTAACTATATGCTTTAGCAAAAAGGAAAGTTTTAAGCCTAATCTTAAAAGTAGAGATAGTGTCTGTCTCCCGAATCCAAACTGGAAACTGGTTCCACAGAAGAGGGGCCTGAAAACTGAAAGCTCTCCCTCCCATTCTACAAGAATACAAAACTCCAAATGCAATAATACAAAATATCAATAGACATAACAAAAGACAAAAAAACAAGGATCCAGCCCCTTCCCAGTGCAAACATTTGGAAAAACCACATCAGAAAATAAAATAAAAACAAAAAGATGTAAAACTCATAATATCCCAGTGTCACTGTCCATGGTGCTGAAATTCCTCCTTATTGTTTTCTAGGGTCTCCAAGGGTCTTTAAGCAATAAATTGAGTTACTTATTGCCAAATCTTCTTCTCCCCTAGAAAATGTACAAGTTCAAGACTCTATGTGATAAGTAGTCCGACAGTAATTTAGAAACAACAACTGAGGAATCACAGGTTATAATGCGCCACATTCATTTTAACTTGTGACTGAACTTCTTTAATGTGGTGTGGTCAACATATTTTTCACAGGGGGCATGCTCATTTTGTTTTCTTTATGATCATCTCAACATGGTCTGTATTTTTTACTGACTGACTGATTTATTAAAAATTTTTTTTAAGCTATAGATGTTTTCCGGTTGACCGACCGTGACTCTAAATAAATGGCATAATTGTCCTGAAAGAGACATGATGTGTGGATCACCATTGGCAACATATTGCCTTTTGTTAAAAACAGATCCTGATAGGATCCCCACACAGAAACACCTGCTTCTCTGGGCACCGAAAATGGTTGAGGCAAAAGAAATGCACTCAGGGTATATCCAGTTTGTTTATGTCACTGTCACAAATCTTTATGTCAATCAGATGAAACCCACAGGGATAAAGTAAAGGCCGCTTGGTGCTTCATGCTCATATGTGTCGACATGTTATCATCTACATGTTATGTTCATGGTGTTTTGAGAAGGTCAGATTGGTTGACCCAGAGTAGCAATAATATTTTAAAACAGTTAAAATCTGATGGGGAAAAAAGGATTGTGTAAGAGAGATAGCATTCTGTTTTAATGTTCAGCTTTCAGGAAAAACAACTCACATGCTGATTTTGACCCCAAAACATTTGCCTCCTTGTCTGAAACACATTTAAGAATGAAAAAACAAACAAACAAACAAACAAACAAACAAACAAACAAACAAACAAACAAACAAACAAACAAACAAACAAACAAACAAACAAACAAACAAACCCAACCTTTTGCCAACTTTTCTTTAGATTCCCACTAAACAAACTTTTGTCCTCAAACTTACAATCAGCTGGGTGTAGAAGGCAATGAGCTCTCTACTCATCAAACAATCAGGCAGACAAAACACATCAGCTTTGAAAAATAAACCAAAATCTTTTATTTGGTGACTGGTTTACATCACTAAATACACTAAAGGCAGGTCTATGCACAGTTATAACTTCTTTGCTCTACATACTGAATAATGTAAAGTGATTATATGCATCTGTGTCCATTCAATGTGTGTCCTCCTCGCCTGTGAATCCCCCATGAAAAGAACATTTATGAATTCTCTGACAACTTGGTGTGCGCACAGATCATGACCGCAATACTGAAAATGATTGGGACAACACTTTAATTTAACACAACCGTACATTAAAGAGCAATAAATTTATCTATCCTGTTGAAAGGAAATCAATCAAATCTTCCACTGTCAATCTTATGACTATTGTTCTGTTGACATTAAATGGGTCAACTGAACATTTCTAAATAAACAAATTTACAAATGGTACCTCTGGCTGGAAACCAAATAAATCCCATTTCATTTATAGTTTGAGTGGACAAATGCTTTACTTAAATTTGAGAGGATTACAGATACCCTGAAATGAAAAATGAAGACATTAAAAACAATGGAGTTTTTATTAACATTCAACATGTCAATTAATTGATTAAATTTAATGGAAAAGTTATACCATTAGGAATAATCAGGGGAAATTATCCATTGAAAATTAATAAAAAAAAAAAAGTAATCACAAAATCAAAATGTGACAAGTAGCCTGATGAAATTTGCATAAAGCTGTAATTTCACTAAAAGTTAACACTGTTTATGTTCCACTGAAGATCAGCTGTACCAATGCTCCACTGACAGTTAATGAAATGAGTCTGAATTTAATTACATAGATTTGAATGCTCCATTTAAAGTTAATTTGACAAGTGCTGGCTAGTTAAAACCAAAGTTAATATGTCATGAATATGAAATTTACTGGGAATGTTCTCTGTGCAAATGAAATTGGATTGAGTGTTATTATTTTAGTTTAACTTGACTGGGTCATTTAAAATCCCAAAAGCGGATAGGGCCAAAGATCCTTAGATAAAATTTTGGATTGTTTTTTTTCCACTGGAAGTTAAACCTTTTTCTGACAAATTAAGGTTTGTGACAGATTAATCATGTTTATCTTCCAATGAATGTTTGATATTGGCCAGTAAAGCCAGTATATCCACTGTAAATCAACCGGTATGCTATTAAAAAAAAACACACTTTTCTATCAATAGTCAATGGCTCAAATTTTCAACTGAAAGTTCATGGGACACAATTCTCTTAAATTTAACACTGCTGTTGTTCCCCAGAAATGGTTAATAGAACAAGAGCGACCTCCTTTTTATCCACTGCTGCCATTTGTTGACACATGCATGTTGCTCAGTGTGGCCCGAAAATTCTTTTGCGATTAGCATTGTGCATATATATGTGGTATATATACAGTGAAAATGTGTACTGTGTAGATGAACAGATAGCTAGATAACCACACTGGAGAACACATCATTGTTGGTTGACTTTTGAATGTCCTTTGGATTAATACGGTGTTGTTTTTTCTGAATGAATGGTTTCATGAGGATGACTTGAGGTATTCACTCGAGCATGGACTTCTCCTCAAAGTGCCTGCAAAAAGAACAGCAAAGAACAGGCAGAGAGGAAGGTTAAAAGCTGCAATACATAACACAGCATTGACTAATAGTCAGGTACTAATTGTGTGAAAAGTTACTTCAGAAATTTAGCTTCATACTTGTCATAAAACTGGACCTTTTAACATTGTTTGTGCTTTTGGTGGCTTTTAGCACTTTTTAATTAATTAGCACTGACTCTCAGGTAATATGTCTGTGCATTGCAGCTGTACAGTTTATGAATGTAGGCTGTTAACTACGCTTGCTGGCATTAGCATGCCTCACGTTTTAAGGCTCCAAAATTCTGAGTCAAAAGAAACCAATAGGTGTCATTGATGTTGATGCTCTCTCTCCCCTGCAAGTAACTGTGTATTAGTGTGCATATGTGTCTGTACTTACCAGCTGATAGTTGTTTAGGAGATGGTCTACGTTTATGTCGTCGTAGCTCTCCTGGAAGGTTTTGGGTTCATCCCTGGACTCCTCGCTGGTTACAGGATCTTCTAGGCTGTGTGGTGTAAGGACATCGGGGAGGAAAGAGGGTTTCAAGATCCACACTTTTTTTTTTTAAATAAACACCTGACAGGTCTAAATAATCTGAAAGACTTGTCATTATCCCTTTCCATATTTCTTCACAAACCATAACAATTGTTCAGTGTATTTTCTTCTAGTTAGATGAGTGTACTATTTTTATTTGTGTATTAAGTGATTGAAGTGACAAAGTTTTGAAGATGCACAAACATATATATTAACCAAAGTTGATTTTATTCCGTTTGAGGTTCTAAAGGTCTTTTTCTTCACATAATCAAATGTACAAATTATCACCCTTATGAATCCGACGGACTCTGTATTTATTGTTTTTGTAGAAAAGTAGCTTTACAAATACATGTCCAGGTAATTCAAACAGTCTAGTCAATGAACCTTAAAATGAGGATTTCTTAAAGCAAATGCTGCATGTTTTGCACAATATTCAGCAAATTTGCTTTACTCAATACCCAAATAAAAAATGTATAAATACATTTGAGCAGAGCCACTTTATCAATTTACCAACTGGTTATTGTGATTTGCAACCATCAAGCTCATTTATACATCAAATAAAACCAGCATCCATCAAAATGGAGTGAAGTAATCAAAGTAAATGTGCTTTTAGCTCCATTATTTTCTTAATGTATTCTTCTGTTCATCCATAAGCAGCTTCAGAAACTAAGAAAGCTATCTGTGTATACAGTGAGATAAAAAGTGAACACAAGGACTGATTCCTACCTTCTCTTTCCTGATAAGACAGAGTTCAGGTACTTCTTGACAGCCATCTGTTTGCGGAAGCGGCTGTAGTTGTCTGTAAAGATAGCGTCTGTGTGACGCTTTGCTGGCTCGTCCATCAGCTCATCACTGAACAGAAGAGATGACAGCAGAGTGATACCATAGCTCAGAGGGCAGCAGGTCTTAATGCAAACTCAGTGCAGCTCATGGTCTGTGACTCATGTTGTCATGTGTGTGTGCATGGGTGTGTGTTCCTCTAGAATATATAAAAAACATGATGTGATGTCACTGATTAACCTTTAAAATATATGTGCAATTACAAAAAGCATGAACTCTTTCAATTGTAAATATAAGTAAATATAACATTTCTATGAAGTCTTCTTGGACTCATTTCTTTTATTTGTATCTAATTTGATTATATGACTAAATGTTTTCGATGAAATAAAATATGAACTTTGGGGGTTTGGAGAAAAATCAACTTTCAACCTAATTTATAGCTTTAAGGTAAAAAACAAACAAACTGTACTTTACTTTCCTTAGCACCCATATTTTGATGGTTTATGGTCAACAACTGGTCCTTGACTGTGGTTTTGATCAATGAACAAAGAAATTTTCTACAGATAATAAGCTTTGTTTATGTATTCATTTATTTAGAATTTTCTGAAAACTTAACATTTCTATATAATCCGAAAATATTTTAAACGCCTCTAAATACTTCTCATGTCTGGATTGACAGAGTTACACACGAGTTTATTAAGCCTAAACACGAATCATTATATACATTTAATAAAAAGAACAGGGTTGGGCATAAGAAAGAACCACTGCTTTCTCAAAAGCGAAATTTAGCATGCTTTTTGGGGGATTATTTCACCTACCTGACCCGCTTTCCAATCAGAGACTCCAGGTACCTCCGTGCTGATAGCTGTCCCAGGAGTTTGCTATATCCGCTGGTAAACAGACCGTCTGCGTGTCTCGTCGCTCTGCACAGATTCACAAGGCATTCACATTAAAAACCCGGATACTTTTAATCCAAACTAAACCGGAGACATACCCATTGTGCTTATGATTGTAACAGAATCTTTTATTGCTTTTGCCGTATGACAAATCATGTAAGTTTCTCAGTAATATGATAGTGTAATGATAAATAATGATCAAATATCTCAGATTTTACCCCCAACAAGTTTCTTAAATAGTTACAAAGTGGTCGCTATTGTAGAAGTCCGATGCTTACATTTAATGAACGGTTCATTCAGCTAATGCAGTTAATCGCATACCTCATTGTATTTATTACCGAGGAAACTTTCCCCACTCTTTCAGTTTCATATCCATGTCATCTGCGCTCAGCAAAACCAATAAGTTAAACAATTTACTCAAGAACATAAAAGTTTCGGCTCCAGAGTCGAAAGACAAAGCTGTTCGTCCTACCATACAGTGTTGGGTACATTTCCTTCTCTATACATTTTTTTTTTTTTGTAAATAACACGTGTTTGCCCTTACCTTATGGTTGTGTGCGGTAGACTTAGGGTCCGGGAGTACAACACACTGCACAGGGCTATTAGGAGAAGCAGGTGGGGGCCGGTTCGTTGTACCATCGCTTTATACCTGAAGATGGAAATGGTGAAGGGTTATGCTCATTCTGGAACACAGAAAGTATATCTGATCGTGCCAACAGGGGAAGGATATCCTTTATCCGGAATTACGCGCAACAGTCCAGTTCAGTTTCTCGAGGCAAATGCAGAGAAGAGAGGACTATTTGTGGAACGAACTCTAACTAATTTCCCCTTTGGTGCCGATCTTGACATAGAGAAGACAAGAAGCCATCGGAATCCAATGCGCAATTGCGCGCGTCGCCGTCACAGGGTAGGACTAAAGATACAATTCCACATACCACATACTTTGACTGTGTTGGCACAATCTGACGTGGTATTGAAATGTATAATTCAAAAGAGTTATTGAGAAAACGCTTGCGATCTCCATCAAAATACCACGAGTAAATTTATCACCGGAAGTCTAAATATCTTTATCAGTAACTTTCTGCTTCAAATTTTCTTTTTACCTACTCAGTTCCGTGACTCTCAGTGCAGTGAGAGTTCGATGTTGACTGAAGAAACGAAATAAAAGCGTTTATCTTCGAAAGGCTGTCAGGGATATAACCGTTACGAAACACTGTTACTTTTGTCAGGAAAGAAAAACATCTGGCGCGGTCCCATGCGTAATTGTGCACAGCGCGGATATGTCGAGGAGTTTTATTACCCTTCGTCAAGAAGTGTAATGCCTCTAATTGCTGTTTAAACCAAAACAAGTAGTTTATTCAATGTAAAACTCAACTTTCAGTTATTAGTAAAGCGTTTCCAAAAGCCGATGGAAGCGGGCATAACACCAAAACTAAAACCCCACCAAATACGAAAACAAACACAAATTCTCAAAGGAACCCCAGAATTACTATGATACAAATGAAAATCTTACATGTGCGGTAGAGAAAGTTGTCTGGTTTGGTTCTCTCTGCTGTGCTGCCCAGACTCCTGATCTTGAGTCGCTTCTTTATGTCCACACTGCTGCTCCGATGTTTCCTCACTCTCGTTCTCCTTTGTCTTTCTGTTTACCTTCAGCTCTGCTGCCGTTTTATACACCTGGATATTCCTCAAGAAGCATCAGACTCATCAGGGGCCTGAGACGTCAGTGGGTCGCTGCTTTCGTCATTGGTGTTGCTCACGGAACCAAAGCGGCCTATGGTGGAATTAGTGGGGAGTGTTATTCTGTTTCTTCTGATTAAACGCAGGAATAACTAACTTATATGCCAGGGTTGATGTTGACTCATCTGATCATTTCCCCATGAGCTCCTCATCGTGCAAAACTATAGTGCAGGTCAGGGAAAACTGGAAATTGGACTGGAAATGAAACCGAAAGCTCTGAGACCTGGATGGAAACTAGAATAAGAATAAAACAGCTGTGAATTTCAAATGTTAGCATGATTTTATAAATGTTATTGTATAGTAGCCCTTCGTTGTCATCCTGAAAATGGGCATTTGAACAGTGCATTAGCAATGGAGTTTAAAAAGACTTGATTATTTTAGCTGTGGATGAATATAAATCATGAACTTCTGGAGCATAAAAACGTTCATGCGAAAGGTCAATATAGAACAAAAATTAAGCCACACCTTAAAAAAAATCAAGAACTCTTTTGTTTAATACCTTTTTTCTTTTAATGAGCTGCTTTTTAAAGGCTTCCTGGTTTCAGAAACAATGTCACCAAAGTAGATTTAACAGTAAAAATGCAACATGGAGCCACTGCAGCAACTAAAATATTTAATTAAAAATAATTAAAAACATTCATCATGTTCTTCATATTTATTTTAATGCCAACACATCTCTCAAACATTTCAGTGTGCATTTCATTGTCTGATGAAAATTTCTGATAACTAGTGGAGTGTGACATGGGATGTTTTACACAATTTCCATTGGCCTTTGAATGTTGAGACACTCTGATAATAAATCATTTTAATTAGTGTATACATGTGCATGTGATAGCCAAATGTTTTCTTCACTTTTATTCAGCATATCCGAGGTTTTACCGTTCCATCTCTGTCAACCAGAGTTTAAAAGTGTTCAAAAGTTATAAATGTATGCAAAGTGTAGAAGAAGAAGACGTGTTCTTGCTTATTTTTATTTCCATTTATTTAATCATTGACACAAACAGTAATTCCACAACAATGCTACCAAAAAAATCCTCTATCGCTGCTATTTATACCTTCTTGTTTAAATCTAAAGTGAGTGCTGAGCATCATTGATAGTGCTGAAAAGAAAACACCGTGGATATTGCAGATTACACCTCCAATAAACTAAAAAAGTTACAGGATGTTTGCAAAGTAGTGATGCTGCTTTCTATTTCAGGTTGTATTGGGCTTTAAACAAAAGAATAGCATACAGGACTGAAGTGTTCCTGAGTCCACCCACAGTGTCCCTGATGAGTCTGATTTGTTCTGCTGGAATGGCACAGTGAAATAGCTGTGACGTCAGCTGGCACCTCATCCATCCATCTTTCCGTCCATCCAAATGAGTGTGAACCATTTAGCCAATATCACCGGAGAGGGAAAAGATGATTGGCTCAGACATGGGAAACAGAGAGAGAAAGCGTGACTGTGTGCTGCCTTTAGGTGAGAGTGTAGAGCTGAAAAAATAAGCACGGAAACAATACACAGGATTGTTGTTGAATTAAACAGATAAACACAATCCTGTTACAATTGTGTGTCAACTTTCACAAATTTTATAGATGTTTTGAAGATATGAAATATTCGATCTGTGTCATGGCTCCTGGTTTTGGCTCTAGGGTTTTGTCATTTTGTGGATTCATATTTAATATTCTGTGCATTCTGTTTGATTTCGCTGTCTAGCTTTTAAGTTTTTGATTATATTTAGACTGAGGTTTTTTGTTTTTTTTTTTTCATTTTAGGGATCTTGAGCATTAATTCTTGTTGTCATGAAGCATAGAATTAGGATCCAAATGCAGGCTGTAGAAACAGGGACAAGCTGTTTAGTCTATGGACATAGTTTTGAATACTTGGTGTTTATTTAGCTTCTGTTTTGATGAATTCCTCATGCATTTGCTTCCCTCTGTGTTTCCGTCCTCTCTTTCCTCTTTCTTGTTTTCCTGTGTTTATACGTTTATCCTCCAGTATTCCCTTGTCTCTGTCTTTATGTTTGGCATGAGTCTTTTTGTCTCTGTGTTCAGTAATGGGTCTTCTGGGTTGCTTTCTATTTCACTTTGATAGATGGCTCTTTCTAGGCTCTTATTTAAAGGTCTTCTGATCATCTTGATCACTTTCAGTTGTGTTTTGTTCCATGCCTGTTCCTTATCAGCCCTAACTCTATAAATAGTCTCTGTTAGTCTCCATAGTTCTGGCCGGTGTGTTACTTTGTCCCTGGTCTTTGTTCGTCGCTCCTAGTCCAACTTTGAACTGACTCTTCATAGTTAATGTGTTTGACTAATTACTTTTTTTAAAAAAAAACTTTAATAGTGTTAAAAACAAATCTTTTTAATATTTAAGTATTCACCTTTTTTGTTTTACCCTTTTTGCCCTCAGAAATTTTATTCAGAATTTACCTGCAGTTGAATATTTACCCGTGCCTGAAATCGCTCAATGTCTTCTTGCTTATAACTTTCAAAAGTTTAACATATTTCCCAGTTTTTAGCATTTGATTTAAATTGCCAATAAATTGTAATTTATGCTGATATTTATGTATATATAATTGTATATTTTTGTATATGTTCCCATCCTGTGTTGTTATAAAGGGTCCAGGGATAATCCAGGGATTATTTCTATTTTACTTGCATTATTAATATTATTATTATTGATTTATATTTCCTAAGTAGACACATCTAAAAATGCAATGAGCTCTGCTTCATTGTTTCAGCACTTATTCAGAAGCAGGTCTCTGGTGTTCTCAAGAGACACAAGTTTATGAAAGAGAGGGGGAAAAAGCCCAGTCATCAAAACAAGTTGGTTAGGGTCCATCAAACATTTGTGCCCAGGAGTCTGTAACTTGATCTGGGCACAGCCACAATACAAATAAACAGTTATTGATAATGAAGATGACAGAAGAATGAAAAGAAAGAACTTAGGCCTGAGGCTGATCTTTTGAGAAGGCTAAATATTGGTGGCTGCTCCAGATTTGGCAGGAGGCAAGGGCAGGTCACAGAACAGTAGACTGGATGATGTCCTACTGTACATATTATATGATCTGTGTTTAACTTTGAGACTTAAAGTTATCAACTCTCTGAGGAATGAATCAAAAACAGTGCAGTTCTTGTTTTATTAATCAGTATGCCATAAGAGTGTTTTCAGTTTACAATCTGTTGCACAAAACAGGTACTGTGCATTCAATTTCACAAAAAATATACAAAAGATTTGAGGGCCAACTGTTAAGTGGAGTGAAAATCCTGCAACCTATTACATTAAATACATGCAGAACAGAAGCAAAACAGAATTTAATCGGGGAAATGCCAAAAATAAACATGTGTTTCTTATTGGGGGTTCAGATTTGGCTCACTAATGGCCACTGTGCATCTCTCCCTTGCACCATTCTGGATCTTGTCTTTTGCGCCATGTCTCCATGCCAAGTTTCACGTTTCGGGTTTTTCATGTTTATTTTTAGTTTCCCCAATTTAGGGTATTGTTTATTCTTGTCTTTGTTTGCCTTATGCTTTGTATTTCTCCATCAGTCATGTTAAACGGCTCGCTTTTTGTTAATTTAAGTTTTGTTTCACATTCCTTTGTGTCTGCATTTGGGTCCAATATTCACAATACATACAGTCTGCTTCTGCATATTGTGACACTCCCAGCATTAGATCTTTTCTTATATATTTATCTTATCGTATTAAAAAAATAAAACTTCCATCACTTATATTAGCAGTGAGTGACATTGAATGTTTAATACATGGTTTTGCATTTACTTCACTGTTTACTTCACCACATGTTCTACATCATCATATCCTCCTAAATGGACTGTATTTATATAGTGCTTTTCTGAGATTATCTAAATTTGACTGCTCAAAATTTCAGTCAGTGATATTGTGGATCAGCATCAGAATAATCATAAGTACACTGCCAATGCAGTAAAAACACACATGGATAGAGAAACACATAAAGAGACAATGTCAGTATAAAGGCACCCAGCATTCAAAGAAGATCTTTCTATGCCCTCCTGGAAGCCCGAAGAGCTATTCCTGAAGACTATTCAAAGAATTCACTATCATGAAGAATAAAAGGCAATTATACCAAATGTTGACTTTCAAGCTTGTTAGAATTCTAAAACCTTTGTTTTTGTGACTTGTGGTGTATTTTTATGTGTGTTTACATGTTTTCCCAGCAAGATATAAAAAAATAAGGAGTGGTTCATGATTTTTGCTGAGTGTGTCTGAATGGAAAATGTGAAAAATATGATTCATTTTTGCTTGCATTTACGGTTGTTCACCTGATGATCACTGCAAATTTTATTTACCTCTTTGTGACAAGAAAGTCTCTGGCCCCTATCTGGTCCTTGATATCGCCTCATAGTCAGCAGATGAACCCCCCTTTACCTCCTTGCCCTCCCTCTTCTCAGTCATGATGGCACTATGTGAAACCTTAATGTGATCAGTCCAGAAAGAAAGTAGATTATGTAGAAGTCCATGGAGAAAGAGCTGGTCTAATTGACAGCAGTGATTGGAGGCAGGTCTGTGCAGGAAGAGGAAGCTGATGGAGGAAAAACATCAGCATTAATATGTGGGTCTTGATGGAATGTACGGAGGAAAACGTTCCTATAGACATGTAATGGGTCACCTCTGCACACAAGCTGGCACAGAGCACTGAGGTCAACAGGAATCTGATGCCTTTTTCTTTTTTAAGATTTTATTTGGCACTTTAAATACCGCTACTAGAGTAGTACTGAGTTCACGTCTACTAAAGCAACTAACTTTGTTGTTATTTCTTAGCTCAAACCTTCTTTTGCTTTTGTGTCCTTACAGTCACTATTACGCAACAATCCATAAGTAACTCACCAAGCTGGATCATGGCTCATTAGGGGAAGAAATAAGCCCT